ACAAGAGGTTTATTATATGTCATAATTTAAAGTCAAAAATAAAATAAAATTGAATGTAATTTTTGAGTGTAAAATTTTTTTTAACACAATTTTAATATCAAATTTTGACGAAAACAGAATGGTAAGAAAATGTTGACTGCATAGGAAAAACTCTGCAATTTATATCATAGTCAAATTTTTGGATATTAAGGATATTCTTATTGATTTGAAGAAATAAACATGATAATTGTACTACAAACATTTTATTTTGATTGATTTCCATCGTGTTGGTGTGCGTGTGTGTATAATTTGTTGTCTTATTTTTTTACGTCAAAGCATGACAATGAAAAATAAGATACCTCCACGCCGACGATGAGCTGTCCGAAACGTTGAAGTACGTATAATTATTTGTAAAAAAAAACGCGCACGATTTTTTTCCGTTTGTTTCGTTTTCTACTGCAAATAAATTATAATTTCCTATATAAGTATCTACTACGCGTACATATTAATATATTAATGTCAATGAAAAAAATGCTTAAAAAAAAAAATAAATACAAAATTAATTAAATCCTCATGGCTATTTAATTAATTTTTTTTTATTAGGTAATGGTACCTATACTATGTTCCTAGCTCACTTTCTTTTTTTTAGTTTTTCCAATCGTTATTTTTGGTGAAAATGGGTTAATGGTTTCGCTTATGATTATAATAATACATAGATACAATATACAAACGCGCGCATTGCTGTAGTGTTATTGAAGGACCGTCCTCGCCGAGCTAAGGGTGACGGAATCGAATCGGTCGGTATTCAGCGCGTTATGAAATAGTAAAGTTACTTTGGCGGACAAGTGGAAACGGTTGTGTTTACGGTTGATAACACTCTGCTCGGAATCGTTTTCGTAAACAACGGTTTACCGCTGCGCAAACTAAATTACCCTATATCATGTACGAGTTGTACCCGTCCCTTCCGATTTCCCACCTCGGACGGCGGCACGCCCGTCAGCTGCAGTATCAGAATTTTTTTCTCGGTTTATCTCTGGCGTTCGGATCAGTCCTGAAAATTCGCCCGCAGGCGCCGTTGAACGTGAACTCCGCTGCGCGGCACCGCCGGCATCGTCGCAAAAACACGGTGACGTATATACGCCGTAAAAGGGACCGCCGAGCCGTATAAAATATTACGGCGGTCACCTATTTATAAACAATAATAATAATATAATATACGTGTAAACGGACGGGCGGAAAAAGAAGGCGAACGGTATACAGGTGTGTACGCGTGTATAATATTATTCGGAGTGTACATATTCGAACGGCATTAAAAATCGGTTTTCCACGGAGTAAGTAGCATGACCGTCGTCGTCGTAGCATCTCCGGTAGACATTACGACCCGTGTGCAGGCGGCAGCTCTGCGACGATAAAAAAAAAAAAAAAAATTCCGTTGGCGTGTGGCGGCGGCGGCGCTCCGCGGAGGCCTGACAAATTTTACGACCGGAGGAAATTCGAACCGTTCGGAACAATTCGATCCGTTCGGGCGATGCGGTCGGCGCGACGTCCGACGACGACGACGGCGGCGGCGACGGTGACCCATATATCCAGTGAAAAACGAGAGTGGCGTCCTTGAACGGCGTGATGTGCAGCAGTAGTACGCATTACGCGCGTACGTTTAACATTACCGTGTACCGCGTTCGTTATTATTTTCCGGACCGGGCGAAAACCGTGACCGTGCGGGGACGGCGAGAGGGAAAACGCGCGCGGCACGACGATAACGACGACGGCGCGTAAAGGCTGGGCACCGGGATGATATTATTTCTCGGCTCGGCTTGACGTCCGCTCGCAAACAAATGTATCGGTCGCGGACAACCGTAATCGCATTGTGCCTAGTAAATTACACGCGTGCGCAGGTACTGCGCACGGTCGGGTGTGTAATAATACCCGCCGCTTGTAGGTGTAAAACTCGGCGTATTACCGTCAAATGTCCGTGCGTGTAATGTATGGAAATCCGGACGTATTTACGGCTCGCGGTTCTTTATTTTCGGGGGTTTTTTTTTTTTTTTTTTTCTCTCTTCTTTTTCTTTTTTTTCTCTCCTTTCCTCGCAGTTCCTCTTTGAACACGTCGCGTTATTATTGTCGACCCTTTTATTGCCGCAGCGGGTCTATCGCCGCGTCGCGCGCCCGCGGGGTACCCGTGCGCCCGTGCATGCCTACGTACACCTACCAAACGATTTCGGTGTACAAATCCGTTAACAGTAGGGACACCCGCAATATATTTCACGTTCATATAACACGTGACGGCCAAGACGATTCCCACGCTCTTCCGGGTTCGATAAATTTATTATCAACACGTTATATACTGCGTGCCATACGGACTATAATACCGGGGGGGTGGGGAAGGGGGGAAAGGGGTTGCGTTATGATAATATATGGAAGCGCTTTTCGGATACAAGTCGAGTATCCGATGTAGCGCGCGCGTGCACCGTAATAAAATATAATAACGCGTGTTGCGTGTTAATGTACACGAAAACGGTCGGGTTTGACGTGGGACGCGCAGTGGCATATAGCCGAGATTTTTAATTGGGGGGGGGAGGGCTACACATTTTTTTTTTTTCTGTTCGAGTTCGACACCCAGCTCCCCCGTAAAATCGAAAAAAGTATTTTCATCGCTATGCGTTTAAATTTGTTAAATCAATAAACTGTATATAAATAATAGATAAATGGATAATAAAATAATAAAGTAAAACACAATGGTTAATAATCGTAAGTAAATATATTAATTAATTCATGCGACACATTCAAAATTGTTGGTTCGAACCCGGAGCTTTCGTTTGTGCTGGTTTGTGTTGCAAATCCCTTCGTTTTTGCTCAATTCCTTCAGAAAATATTCGCAATTTACCCTGAGCGATACTAGGGACGTGCTGAACCGTTCGATTGTGCTCCTAATTTTCTATAATGTTTATAAAATGTACATTGGGGATCAACTATCGAGAAACAAATTGTTTCACTATTGGTTTAATTATGAAAATAATTATGGATAAAATTACGTAAAATAAATCGAATATAGGGAAGACGTCGTAACTTTGAAGATAGTAGACCCGGAGACAAGCTGATAAGAAAAAAGAAGGTCGTCAGTAAAAGATACGCCTATGTAGGTTCTCGTTGCTTATCGACAAACTATACCCAGTTATATGAATAGTACTAATTTTACGACGACCCGGAGAATAATTCGCTGAACAAATTACAAGATCATTAAGCATAGATTTTTGTGTCACCTTTACAATTGAACACACATTTTATAACTATATAATATATGTATTGGTACCTTTGAATCATGAATCGTCTATTTTAACAAAAAACTTCTCTCCAAACACCACTGGACCCACAGGTGCAAGTATCGTATTGCAGCCGATCATTTCGGCGCATTGTTAAAATAATTAACGCGACATGTATTCATATATAGATATATAAATAAATAAAAATAATATAGGTACTAAACTCTTTGTAAAATAAGCAGGGCATATAAGTTTTGAAGGATGTACCGCTGGTTTTGGAATTTTGTGCTAGAGGATAATATCAACAGCGTTTGCTACCGTTGCGTTCGGTACCGATACAGGACGAAATTATTCGTTATACTGTGGTGCAAATATTCAGTATATTATTAAAAGTAAAAAAAAAAACATGGATATAAACACTATATTATTTTATGAACTGTAACCTAGGTCCATGATTAAAAAATCGCAGCTAAAATATTCAATGGAAGGGATGATATACCATCATCCCCCCACGGTAAAATACATAACTAGTACAGATTATAATTTATAGATATATTTTTAACGAATATGATTTATAAGTTGACCAATATTCGATGACAATAATCCTTTCAAAGATGCGACACGCTAAATATCTTCGAATTTCCCGCTATAATCGTATTGACGGAATTTTAGAAAACTAAGAAAAAATTAATTATTATATTAATTTGTATTCGCGTTGTGTTCGTCTTGTTGTTCGATTAGGTACTTATTCGGAAAGTGGCGTAGTTTGCGTACGAATATGTGCTCGAATATAAAATAATAAAAAGAATCGGAAAAAAATTGTATAAACGTAGCCGAAAAATTGTATCATCCATGGCAAACCGAAATAAACAACCGCCGTGTTCTTTATGAAAACACCTGGTTGCTAGGGTAAATTTTTTCTGTGTAACAAATAAACATGTAAAATAGTTCACAATACATCGTTTATTTCTTTGCACTAAACACTCTACGATATTTTCATTTCGTGTTTTTGATCTTAATATAATATGGACGCAACGACAGTCGTATAAATCTCCGACTAGTACTGAAAACGATATTACCGTTAGTGAATTGTTAATAGCGGCCGGTAGTCCCTTTCATTGGGAAAAAAGACTTTTGCCATCACCGACGGATTACGCGTGTTAAATAAACTGAAAGAAAATTCTCCTGAGTACAATGAAAACAACAGCGTAAGTTTTTGTTCTTTATTTTTTACAATATTATTTTCGTTCGCTGTTGTACGTAATGACCGTAATTTACATTCTTTTTTTTCAAAAATATGATAATTTGAATAAATTAACGTTATACAAATCAGAATAATTTGTATCGAGGTGAATATTAATATTTTATGCACGGATGTTATAATACTTTAACATTAATTAATTAAATCGTTATTGTTGGTTTATAAAATATCTGCTTAGTATGTAGAATAACTAAGGTTAAGCAAATATTTTTGTGTTCATTAAATGAATTAACTGAACGTACTTCTATAAATGATCTATATTAACCTATAAAATTATTATTTATCTGATATAATATAGAAACTCTATACATTAACGCTAACATTTACCTACATTTTAAATTGCATTATTGTAGTTTTTGAAATAATAATTGCAAAAAAAACATAGAGAATCTATAGATATTAAACTAGTAAATGTACCAGAAAAATCCTTTATTATACATCAATTTATTAATATTTTTTTGACGGTAAATTATTCTTGTGTTGAGATTAAAGCTGCTGCTATGGTGGCATTCGCATCTGCTGTTGATTTTTATTTGAATCTTTCTCTTTTGGAGCCGCTAACAGGGTCTGATCGACCATCACCTTCCTACCTCTCGCGCCACCACTCCGAGTCCTTCGGTGGTCTTCTGAGTCACCTTGTTCACGCCTTTAACGGTGGCTTTGGTGACAACTTTGGTGATCCAGGCAATCTGATACCCGGACACACCGTCCCGCCTCGGCGGGGCGGCAGCCGCGGCCGTACTGGCATTACGTCAGAACGGCATGTCGGGCTACCGGGCGCGTCCCCAGGTTGCGGATAAGGGAACGTTCCTCGTAGAGGACAACTGCGATATAAGCCAGTACGGAACTGGTCGAATAAGCAGTCGTGGACAATACACAAATCAGGGTAGGGCGGGCTCTTCAGCCTTGGCCGGCAGCCGTCCTAGGGGANACAAAATGCTATAATACATTTTAACTAATAGATACCTACATTTCATATATTTTCCCGATTTTCCTCAGTTTTTTTAGTGTTTCAAATTTTATGAGTGAAATTTCCGAGACAATCAAAAGTTACCCGCTGAAGCACCTCCCCAGTCGGATTTTCTTTTAGAATAATTACACTATATTTTTTTTTTTTAAACAATGAATATTTATTCTAATATTTAAATTGTGAGCATGTGACTTCCACTACTATAGGTCTACTGAATCGTGCGTTTGTGTGAGACGAGGACTACACGCACGTGGATATCAAATCCGCTTTAGTAACTTTAACTTATTTCACAGTAATAAGGGATTACGAGATAAAACATAAAACATACAAGTTATTTACTTGTAATTATATTAGATACATTATTTACTAGTATGGTCTACAGTTTTGAGTATATGTACGGATTTTGTTTCGGGAATCAATACACGTGGTGTAAGAAAATCTATTTAAAAAATGCAATTATTCTTTTTCCAACACTACAGCTTTGCGCTATGATCGCTATATTTTATTTTATTACTTTATTTTTCTATAATCTGAGGTACCTATTTTATACATGTGCCTATTAATTTGTATTCGCGTTGTGTTAGTCTTGTTGTACTTATTCGGAAAGTGGCGTAGTTTGCGAACAAATATGTGCCCGAATATAATATAACAAAAGAAATCGGAAAAAATTTGTATTAACGTAGACGAAAAATTGTATCATCCATGGCAAACCGAAATAAACAACCGCCGTTTTCTTTATGAGAACATCTGGTTACTAGGGTAAATTTTTTCTGTGTAACAAATAAACATATAAAATAGTTCATAATAAATCGTTTCGTTCTTTGCACTAAACACTCCACGATATTTTCATTTCGTGTTTTTATCTTAATATAATATGGACGCAACGACAGTCGTACAAATCTCCGACTAGTACTGAAAACAATATTAACGTTAGTGAATTTTTAATATCGGCCGGTAGTCCTTTTCATTGGGAAAAAAGACTTTTGCTATCACCGACGGATTACGCGTGTTAAAAGAAACTGAAAGAAAATTCTCTTGAGTACAATGAAAAAAACAGCGTAAGTTTTTGTTCTTTTTTTTTTACAATATTATTTACGTTCGCTGTTGTACGTAATGACCGTAATTTACATTCTTTTTTTTCAAAAATATGATAATTTGAATAAATTAACGTTATAAAAATCAGAATAATTTTTATCGAGGTGAATATTAATATTTTATGCACGGATGTAATAATACTTTAACATTAATTAATTAAATCGATATTGTTGGTTTATAAAACATCTGCTTAGTATGTAGAATAACTAAAGTTGAAGTAAATATTTTTGTGTTCATTAAATAAATTAACTGAACGTATTTCTATAAAAGATCTATATCAAGCTATACAAATTCAAAAAAC